CACGCGCGTCTGAGCAGGGGGTCCTGGCACTCCCCAGCAGGTCATGTCACCTGCCTCAGGCAAGCTCTGTGGTGCCTGCCCTCCCCCGGGGATGGAGACCAGGAGGGATCTCACTTTTCTCGGGCTCTGCTACGGAGGCTGCTGTCCCCGCAAAGTCCCTGCTTCCCGGCTGATGTTAATGGTTCATGAGCTGAACAAGGCTCAGAACATCCTTTGCTTAAGAAGAAATGACAACATACTTTCTGTGGGAGTAGAACTTTAAATACAAGTCCACACAAATGGTAGGATTTCTGCAGACCCAGTGTTCAGCTGCATTTCAAGTACAGCATTTCCTCCCGGAATGGATTGGCCGACTGAGCGGTGTGTAGGCATTTCAAGGCCCCAGAGAACACAGATGAAGACAACAAACCTTCCTAAAACAGAACAGACTTGCTAAAATTCTTCTGGAGGGAATCATTTCACATTTCGGTCTCAAGTTTTCTGTGCAAAGAACATTTAACAAACCGAGTCCTGGAGGAGAATTTATGCAGAGATTAAAAAGCAAATCAGTGTGAGTAAATAAGATCAGGCGTCAGCATCTCACCAAGCCTCCCCGCAGCCCTGGGCAGCTGGGCCTGAGGGCGGGGCCTTCTGGACAGGGGCTGGATCTCATTCACCCTTGTCCTGGGCCCTCTCGGAGGCTCTCCTTGGGTCCTCCCTTGCACACCCTACCGCCTGAGCCCTTGGCTCTGAGAGAACCAGCAAGAACTCGCTCCCCCCTGAGAGAAGAGACCCCCCCTCAGGCTAAACCAAGGACTGCTTGCTTCCAGAGGACTCTGACCTGCCCATGGGATTTCAGAGCCTGCTCCAGAGTGTATAACTTAGAGAGGACTGCTGGAGCCTACTTCCCCTGGGAGTGAGATGGGGAGCTTCATTTGCATAAGATGGTGAATGAGTCATTTGTCCCCAGCAAAGGCCAGTGGGGGAGAGATCATGGGGATCTATAGTTCCTCAAGTTCCCACCCACTGCTGCCACCAAACTTGCCTTCCAAGGGTCTTCTGTGGCTCTGGGCTCCCACTCACCCCTGCCCCTCCGGTAGTGGTAGCTGTCTCTACACCTGTTCTTGGCTGTCGAATCCTGCACTTCTGAAAAGGGAAACGAGAACCCTTGGCGCTGGTCATGGAGGCTGTGTCCGCCCAGATTGCTGGTATAGACATGGACTCATCTCCATCCAGGGATAACTACTTAAAAGCTAAGCATGCTTTATCTTTGTGAACATCTGGGTAGACGTTTCCTTTTTTGTCTCTACCTCTGCCTCCAAGCCTAGGATAGGACCCTCGCCTCACTTCCTCTGGCCCCCCGAGGGGCTGGAGCCTGCTCTCCAGGCATGAGGCAGGATTGCACTTCCAGGTCCCCTTGTGGTCGGGTAGAATCATGTGACCAGCTTGGTCTGACCCACTAGCTGTGAGTGCAAGTGATATGTGTCACTGCTGGGCCAGAGTCCTTAACAGCAGGTGTGAGACCTTCTAGAGTTCTCTCCCTTTGGCACATTTACCTATAGTATTCATGATGATGGTTGCTCCATCAGCGTGGGTCCCAAGGTGAGGATGCAAGCAGCAGGGCCCCAGCTAACCCTGTTCCCCACATGTCATATGAGCAAGAAAAAAAACTGATTGTAAGCCACAGCATAACCCATCCCAGCCTGACCAATAGAGGAAGGCTTCTGATTTTTCTTTTTCTTTCTTTCTCTTTTCTTTCTTTCTTTCTTTCTTTTTCTTTCTTTTTCTTTCTTTCTTTCTTTTTACTTGAGAGAGAGAGCATGAGTGGGAGGGGCAGAGGGAGAGAGACTCCCAAACAGACTCCAAGCTGAGCACAGAGCCCGACGCGGCACTCGATCTCACAACTATGAGATCAAAATCAAGAGTAGGATGCTTAACCGACTACGCCACCCAGGGACCCCAGGCTTTGGATTTCTTTAATCCATTTACTGAAAACAAGCCTTACTGATCAACAGCCCTCAGTTTCCCATGCATATAGCTTGATTGACTCCCCAGACCAGACTCTCTTCAAGAAAGATCTTCATTTTAAATGGCAATGATGATGTTCCTCTGCCCTAAATCCAGACTAGGGTCAGGGGCTCACTCCTTTCCATCCCCTCAGTGTATGTACTGAACAGTTGACTCCCACACAGGACCACGAGGCATCCGGGGAGCTGAGCCTAAGTCTTTTTGTTTTTAGTGGAAGCCATTTCTGCTCAGAGAAGGGGCCACTGCTAGTGATAGAAGTAGCAAAGTAAATCCACAGACGTGGGGAAGTGAGTGCACTGGAAATTTCGGCCAAGGATCGGTATACAGGGTTGGTTCCAGGAAGGCGACAAGGCAGGAGGGATTGTCAAGAGTGCACTGAGGTGGTGCAGACTGAGGTGGACGCAACAGCCTGTGCTTCATGGCTGGGGGTCAGACACTGCCAGGTTGTGCTGGCTGTGGGATGCATGCCCAGGCTGGCAAGGGGGGAGGGCTAGGAGGCTGGGGGCGCCTGGCATCCAGCTCCTATGAGTCAGATGCAGCACTGTGACTGCTTGGGGTATTTTGCAGCAAGGTCCCAGGAATTTCTGGGGGCAGAGCCTTTGCTTTCTAGGTGTGTATATTTTAGTGTGGGGGTGTCCTCCTGGAGGGCAAGGAGTCAGGAAGGGGGTAGGTGGTGGGTGGAGTGAGCAGTGAGCAAGGGAGGGAGATGAAGCGGAGAGTCCAGGAGGGCTGAGAGCAGGCCTGAGGGAGGCAGAGCCGCTCAGGAAGTCCTGCCTGGCAGGCTACGCCCAGACCACAATGACCCACCAGTTCCCAGGAGGCCGGCGAGGAGACGCCAGGGAGGAGCAGCTGTGGAAAATGGGCCTGAAAAGAGGATCCAACACATTCACTGACAGTTTGTCTTGAGCTGGGCTTGTTTAACTTAAATGCTTAGAATGTCTGAGTAGCTTCCCACCTACACCACACAGATCAGCCTAGCCTCGAGTAATCCTTCTGCTGAGAGCAGGGGGAGCCGAGCCTCACCGGCCGCACCTGTGTCCTGCACTCTGGGAGGGCGGAGGGACCCTCTGGCTGGCTGAGGGTCTGAGCAGCGCCCCCCAGGTTGAGGCTTCCTGCACCCCCCTCACCGCTACACAGAAGGTGGACGGGGTCTCACCAGGCTTTCTGGTAAAGTTTTGGACAGAAAATTGCCAGAACAGAGTTCAGCACCAATGAGAAAACAGTCTATGCAGTTCAACCTGATTTTGCTTTAAAAACAGGCCCAACAGGAGGCTTCGGCTGCGTGATCCTCATCTATCCCGCGGCCCTCTGCCCTTGGTCCTGGGGCCACCATCCTTCTGGTTCCCTTCTTGCCCCTGGGGCTGCTGCTTCTCTGAGCCCTCGGTTGTCCCCTCCTCCCCTGCCCACCCTGACCTTCCTCTGCCTCTTCTCTCCTCCCTCGGTTGATCCCTCAGTGTCACCTGTTCTCAGGTGTCTCTCCTGATAGCTGATTTCTTCGTCCACTGCCCCCGCCCCCAGCTCTGTCTTCTGAGTAGTTCCTGAGGCTCTGGACATCCTCCATACCCTGCCTCTTCCCACAAGCCCCTGGTTCTGCCTCCTTAATGCCTTCTATCCATTCCCACGGTTACAGCCAGCTCAGGCACCGCCCTGTCCCAGCTAGACACTGCCCAGCCACCACCTGTCTCCCAGCACCTGGCCTCCCCTTGTCTGGTCCACATGGCAGCTACTGGGATCTTTTTAAACTACATAGTAGACCATACTACTCCCCTGTTAAACTCTTCAGTGGTCCCTGCTGACCCGAGGAGGATGTCCAAGCACCTGGCAGGGAAGGGCACACTAGGCCCAGCATCCTGATCTCCAGGATCGCTCTGCATCGCCCCCTACTTCTGAAGTCCCAGGGCCCCTTGTGCAGTTCCCCACCACACCCTTCTAGGCCTCCCTGCCTTTGCTGGGCTGTTCCCTCATAGCCCTCATCTGTGTGCTGGGATGAGGCCTCAGCAGGGGGCTCAGGGTTCAAAAGTCACAGTGACATCTCTTCACCAAGCCCCAGCCAGTTCCCTACTCTATGGCCCCAGAGATAATGGGAGGACCTTCAACCTGGCTGAAACAGGTCATTTCTCTCAACAGCTGGTGGTTTCTGTACATTTATTGCCCATGGTTGCAGTCTGCACACCAGAAGGGGGACCAACCCCCCGCACAGCTTCAGATTTACTAAGCTAGAAGCAGAACTGAGAGAGGAGGCTGAGCAATGGTGACAAATTCCATTCCTCAAAGCAAAGGAAGCAAGGGTCATAGGTGGCCTTATGGATTGTCTCTGCAGACCTGGGACCCTGCTCTTGTCGTTGGCCCCAGCAGCCTCGGAGCTGCTCACCCCCCCGTCCCCCCCCACTGCCTCCAGTCCCAGAGAATGCAGGTTTTGTGTTCTAACTCCGAGGCCCGCATTCCCCTGCAAGCACTCAGGGTTTTATCCCATCACCTGACTCTGGCTGTGTCGGGCACATAGTAGGCAGATAATAGGAACCCCTGATGACCGACAAGTGTCAGCAACCCCCCTGCCCAAATTGCTTTCCACCAGTTGTTTGACAGTGCTTGTTTCATAGCATCCTTGCCAGCTCTGGGTTTTAAGCGATTAAAAAAAATTTTTTTTAACAGTTTAGTGGGTAATGATACCTGGTTACGTTTCCCAAGATACTTAAATTGTATTCCTTCACTTTCATGAAGTGCTGCCTCAGGTCTTCCCTATGCATTGAAGAGTTTGTATTTTCTCCAAAGATTTGGATGGGGGAGACACCCCCCCACCCCGGCCTTGCTCTCCACCAGAGGGAGTTCCAGGTAGGCACAGACACCCCCCAGAGCTGTTTCCAAACTTTTTAACCAAACAGCAGAACCTTTTCTTAAACAATTTCAGAGCCCCTCTTCATATAAAATATGAATAATTCGCCTCTGAGGGGAGGCCTGGAGCGGCACTCCCCCTCCAGAAGCCCCTGTCTTACCTGAGGAGGGGCCGCTGGGACCCTCTTGATCTTCGTCTGAAGAGGGGGCGCCACTGCAGTCAGGACCTGAAAGGACATGAGCGGTTCACAGAGGTGTCCAGAACTCAACCTACAGCCACCCAGCAGCCCAGAACAGGTGAGCCAGGTACAAAGACCAAGGGGCCCCACCTGCACCACACCCTCCACGTCGCCAAGGAGAGGGTGTGGACCGGGCTGTCCCCGCGGACGGAGGAAGTGCAGCCAGGGGGGTGGGGGTGGAGGTTTGTGCGACAAACCTGCACAGGCCTGGGGGAATAGGAGGGTTGACAGTTGGCGAGGTCTCGCCTGACGGGTGGGAGGGATGAGAGCTCCACATGGACAGCTGGACCCGGGCCAGGCTGAGGTTGTGTGAGGTGGGGGGCGGAGAGAGGTGAATTCAGAGCTCCAGCCTCGGGGCCTGCCTGGGTTTGATCTGATAGACGAAGCTAGAACAATTAGAGCTTTCCCCCAGGAGCTTTGTGTAATCTCAGCCTCGCCAAGATACGTGGGGGTGGGAGAGAGCTGAACGCAGGCCATAGAAGATGGACCGTGGCCACCCGGACTGGGGTCGGGGAAGGGGGGGAGGAGGAAGCCGCAGTGAGAGAAAGAAATGGGCTTTCACAACAGGTAAAGGTGAAGGTAGGCTGCCTAGGGGACGCTCAGCAGAGACACTTCGTGACCTCAGTGGGGTCTACTTAGGGGATGGTAGGGAGGACACTCGTGTGAGCCGAGGCCTTGGACACGATGCTACCGGCTCCCTGCATCCCTTGCTGGCTCAGTCCGGACCTCAGCAGCGCCAGGCACGCCCCCCCAGTGGGGTTGGTAGGCTGGGTCTGGCTCTCTGGCCCTGCCTTCCCCTTCTAACTCGGCCCCTGGCCTCGAGTATTGACCTCTCCCGGGACACTCTGGCTCCGCCCCCTGGCCCCCGGACCCGCGCAGCTCTCTGGCCCCGCCCCCTGGCTTCAGGCGCTCCTTCGGCTCTTTAGTCCAGCCTTCCAGCCTCAAGTCCCGCTCTCAACTTTCCCGCCTTATCCTTTTTTTTTTTTTTTTAAGATTTTATTTGTTTATTTGACAGAGAGAGACACAGCGAGAGAGGGAACACAAGCAGGGGGAGTGGGAGAGGCAGGCTTCCCGCTGAGCGGGAAGCCCGATGTGGGACTCGTTCCCAGGACTCTGGCATCATGACCTGAGCCGAAAGCAGACGCTTAAAGACTGAGCCACCCAGGCGCCCTGCAGCCTTACCCTTGGCTCGAGGCCCGGCCTCCTGGCCTCAGGCGCCAGAAGTCCAACACCGCCCCCACCGGGCTCTGTGCAGCGCTCCTTGGCCCTCCACCTTTTCAAGCCAGTCCTACTGCCAGAACCCTCTTCACTACCGTCACATGTCGAGGCGACGGTTACTCTCCAGCGCTCTCATCTGGACCAGTTCCCATCATTTATATGCACTTATTTTGCAAACCACTTAAACTGTGTTTCAGAGGAATCTGAAATTTAAGTTCCAGGCCCTCGGTCCACAAGCCAAAGATGTTGTTTCTTCACTTGGCAAACAACTGGCTCTCTCTTGCTTAGGAATCCCCATAGAGAAGCTCCAGGGAGACCCGTGTTCGAGCCCTGGGTCTGCTATCCATCTGAGCCTCAGTTGCCCCCTTCACTGTCATGCAGGGGGTCACTCCAGTGTCTTGTGCAGCTGTGACCAGGACCAAATGAGCATGGGTACTTGATGTTGCCACATTAGGGTGGGAAGAAGGAAGCCACAGTCCCTAGGATCTGTGTTGCCCTGGGGATCCTTTTTCCACGTGGACACCCTAACTTGTTTCCTCTGAGTTAACCACGTGATAGGCATCCTTCCCCACCCATAGCCTGGGGAGTCCAACCTGCCAGGAGGTCAGAGGGGGTCTGCTGTTCTGGCTTCCAGGGGAGGTCCTGTCCCCTGTACCTGGGATGTCTGCCTCTTCACCCTCGGTAGGCTGATGACCTGCATGCACCTCTGTCCTTCACCCTCTTCGTGGGCCGACCTGACCCTAGGCCACAGGCTGACAAACATTTAAAAGTGGGTATGAAGGAGGCAGACCTCTCCTGAGCCAACCCAGCCTTTGTGACTCTCAGGCCCCACCACCCTGGAGTGAACTTCTCTCAATGAGAAGTTTCTCAAGGAGGCCCTTTGTCCTCAGACCTTCCCCAAACCGTCCCCCTCCAGCTTCACAACCTCACAACCTCTCTCCCCCACCAAACTCTTCTAAAAAATTCTCTGCACATTTTTTTTAAAATAGAATTAAATGACAGGAACTGACTATTTAGTGAGGGGTTCCTGAGGGGAAATGGGATCTCTACAACCTTGAAATTACAGGACTTTTTTTTCCTCAAAAGAAAAACTCATCAGATCATTGATATTCTCAGCCAGACATTGTTTTGAAATATGCTCTCCTCTGTCCTTACACAAACTACAGGCTTTCTCCCTCTTTGAAAATAAGATCACATCAAGTCAGGGATTAGAAATGGGAAAAATTCAATCAGAGCCTCCCTCGGGCCTGCTACACATCTCAATACACTCATAGGCCGGCAGAATCAGTTCCCGCTACAACCCAGCTCAGCATCATCATTCAAAACGTACCCGTAGGAAATGGTGAAACAGAAGGACCTTTCATCCCCGAGTGAGCGAGGCCTGCAGGGCTGCTCTCCTAGCTCCGGAAGCTGGTGGTGCCTGGGCTGAGTGGAGTCGGGGCCTCTTGGTTAAATAGGCAGTAGGGCAGGGCGGGCCTGGGGGGCGGGCGTGGAAAGTGGGCTGTTTACCCAGCACAGCAAGGCAGTGTCTATGGATCCAGCAGTGGTCCTGAGCACACGCCTGCCTGCTTGTCCACCAGGAGCCTCAAGCCCACAGGCCCAGAGACCGCAGACCAGCACCTGGGGTGACCTCTGATGGACGTGCAGCTCTAAGTGACACCATGTCCCTGGATGCTTGGTCCAGGTTCCTGGATGCCTCTACCTCCCCTGAGACACAGCCCAGTCAGCAGAACCACCTGTGGAGTTGGATGGACCTGCTCCGTAAACCAGTAAGTAGTGGCCTCAGGCAGGGCATCTCTCCAAGCCTCAGTTTCTACTTTCTTTTTTTTTTTTTAAGATTTTATTTATTTTTTTGACAGAGAGACAGCAAGAGAGGGAACACAAGCAGGGGGGAGTGGGAGAGGCAGAAGCAGGCTTCCTGCCTAGCAGAGAGTCCGATGTGGGGCTCGATTCCAGGACCCTGGGATCATGAACTGAGCCGAAGGCAGATGCTTAACGACTGAGCCACCCAGGCGCCCCAGTTTCTACTTTCTTTCTGACTTCATAGGTCCAGAAATAATGTGTGCAAAGGGCCTGGCACCTAGAAGGTTGATTTATTTGTCCACAAGGTAATGCAGGGGCCAGGTACTGTCAACAAGTTTCAAGGCCAGAGATGTTTAGAAACGTACGTAAAGTCACACAGCCCGGTAGCTGATTGTCAGGGTCAGACGTCATGCAGACCTGAGACTAGGTTGGGTTGCTGGAAGTCCCTTGGGGTGAGGGTGAGAAGCAGTTGCTGCCTTGGGGAAAGGTCTTAACTGAACTCTGGGGAAAGAGTTACCCCTAAACCTCCAATACCAAGGCAAAGGGAGAGGCATGGCTGGACAGGCATTCTCAGAGGCCTGTGTGTGCATTTGGTTGAGACCTTATTGGCGGGGTGCAGAAGTATCCCAAAGTCACTGCTAGGGATAGCTGGTGAAAGGAACTTCCCCCCACTAAATGCATATATTATAGCCCTAACCCCCAATGTGGCTGTATTTGAGATGGGGCCTCTAAGGAAGTAATTAAGGTGAAATGAGGTTGTAAGGGTGAGACCATGATCCAATTGGATTAGTGTCCTTTTTAAAAAAGACATCTGAGACTCCCATGGCTTTATACATGCATCGAGGAAAGGCCATGTGAGGACTGCAAAGCCAGGAAGAGAGCTCTTACCAGAGACCCAATCAGCCAGAACCTTGATCTTGGGCTTCTGGCCTCCAGAATTGGGAGAAAATGCATTTCTGTTGGTTAAGCCACCCGGTCTGATCTTTTGTTATGGCAGGCCCAGCAGACTAACACAAGTGGATGGGATTGAGCATGGGGAGCGTGGAAAAGGACCTCCAGTTCAGGCAACTGAATGGGGGCTAAAGTCGCTCACTGGCCAGGGGTGGGGTGGGTCAAGGGAGGGTTGTGGTGTGGAGGGACATTTGCATGGATGTGTCCAGGGGGCAGTGGGATATTCAGACCCACAACTCAGCAGGGAAGTCTCGGCTGGAGCAGGATTTGGGAATTATTAGAGTGTAGGTTAAATCTTAGGAGTGGCTGAATTTTGTCAGATCACTTACTCTTTCTTTTTCAACTGGTCCATTCTAATTCCAGTGTCTTGTTATATCAGATTTTGTCTTTCATATTTTTGTAAAAAGCCAGACATTCCCTCTCTCTTTTTAAGTATAATTGTGTACAAATCCCCCCCCCCACTTTTTAATGAGTCTGTTTTCTACTACTCAGAGTGCGTCTTACTTGGGAGCATAGCTGCCATGTGGTTAGGGCACTCAGGTGTGGTTTGATGGCACATTTGTTCCTGAGATTCATCTTGTCTTAACTCTTTGTGATGTCAGTCCTCTTGTCATTCTTATCTAATTTCAAAAGAACATATCTCCCTTCAGCTTGCCAGATCATTTATCATTCCAAATTGTAACTAGCAAATGCTGATTTCTTTCTCTCGGAGTTAAACTTGAAAGGCACGGTATGCGTTCTTTATTTCTAGGCTGAGCTGTTTTGTTCATCTCTCGAAATTTTTCTTGTATTGTTTCTTTGCTGACGTTTCCCTCATTGTGTGCCTCACCCTGTTTATCTTCCTCTCACCTGCTCTAGGGCTGTGACACTGTCTCTCATTTCCAAAAGGGTTATTTGTACCTCTGATTGTCTTCTTTGTCTGCATTTCTGGTTTGATGTCTTACTTTAGCCCCAACAGCACCTCTCTCTTTGCTCTATTGCTTCAGTTATCCCGACTTCTACTTCTGGACATGTTTCAATTCTTTTATAGTTTCCACCATGGAATTACAGTGCTTTTTTTTGCGGGGGGGGGGGGAGGGTG